CCAGCCGCCGTATTCTCCAGACGTTGCTTCCTCTGACTATCACTTATTTCGATCAATGGCACACGGCCTGATTGACTAGCACTTCCGGTCTTTATTAAGAAGTAAAAATTGGATCGATTCGTGGATTGCTTCAAAAGATGACCAGTTTTTTCAACGCGGGATTCGTACGCTGCCCGAAAGATGGGAGAAAGTAGTGGCCAGCGATGGACAATACTTTGAATCATAAATGTATAACCAGTTTTTTACAATAAAGCCTCGAATTTCGGAAAAAAAACGGCGGAAGCAAAGTTGTACACCTAATAATATAATTATATAGGATACAATACTATAATTATTTATATAATTATACATTTTATTTTTTATATAAATGTTTTCTGTTCTCGTACAAAAAAAACTAAAAGGTTTACATTTTCCGGAGTTAAACAGTTACGTTTTCGCGTTACGATATTGCCCGCTGAGGAAAATGCTCTTTCCGAACTCGCGAATGTTGCAGGTATCGCTAAATATTTTCTCGCCAATTCTGCGAGTATCGGATATTTATTGGCTCTTATCTTCCACCATTCGAGGGGTGATTCGTTATGAGCGATAGTTATCTCCATTTCATAATAATTGAATTGCTTCTGCCAGTCAGTTTGTGTACTTGAAGTACCTTTTTGAAAAATAAAATCCCATGCACTTCCTACCACACGTGAAGTATTTTTCTCTGGTACATCGATTGGAGCCAGTGTCTGTAAAATATTCATTTTATTCAATCTATTTCTTAGTAACTCTTCTTTTCGTTAGATCTTACTCATTGGCATCAATAAGCAATTATAATATACAGGGTGAGTTTTTTAACTTGAAACTGTAAAATATCTCGGAAAGTAAGCTTTATTGAAAAAAATGTTTCAAACAAAAGTTGTAGGGTTCGGAGGGGGCCACATGATAAAAATATGGATTTGACCTTGAGTGACCTTTTCAAGGTAAGATCAATGTGATCAACGTTTCCTTAAATGGAACTCCCCTTTTTTTTATTATATATTCTTGTAGCTTATCTCGAGAGGTTTTCAAAACACTGTAATAAAGTATTTTTTCATTAAGTACTTTTTGAGTTATTTTATATTTTAATCTGACATATTTTGATATAAAAAATAAAATATCTCGTAAAATATTCAGTTTTTGATAATCTTACCGTAATACTTTTATGAACAGAATAATGAGACAAATCAATTAAATAATTCAGAATTATTGGTCAATTACACTGAGTTCGGTTTCGAACATTCCGCCCTCCTCGTAGTTGAAGCCTACGAAAGTTATTCGTGCTTGCGGCCCTAGTTTAGCGCGTCAGCGCGTGCTGACTATACTCAGCTGTTTCGGCGCTAGATCACGTGGCGTGAGCGTGGTGTTGAGTCAGGCGATCGGTCGGCGGGGCGTGGTGTGTTGCTATGGAATTCGCATTCCATTCACGTTTTCGCCTGTTTAGATGTGAATCGATGGCGAATGGTTCGCGATTCTTTCTGTGCGGTGTCCGGTTGTTCTGTTTAGTGTGTGAGTGTAACTGTGAGGTGGAGTGAGTCGTGTCTAGTGTAAGTGTATGGTGACGTAAAGTGTGTATTGTTTAGTAGTCGTCTTCCGGTGCCGCGCTGACCGGGAGGAGAACGAGCTTAGTTAAGGGTCGCTTAAAGCTGGATGTGGCGGTGCGCACAATAACGACCCGGACGACCCCGTCCTCCCCAGGGTGCACGCGTTCGATCCTGGCGAGGGGCCACTTATTCGGCGGCGTCGTCTCGCACTTTAGGAGGCACAACCTTCCCCGTCGGCTTGGCACCATTTAGGCCGGTGCATCCCATGGGGCTTCCATGGCGAGGGACGGCTCCGGGACGGCGTTGAGTGCTGTGCCGACAAGGAAGTGACCGGGCGTAAGCGCCTCGAGATCCTCGGGATCGTCCGAGAAGCCCTGTAACGGGCGCGAGTTGAGGCACGATTCAATTTGGGCTAACAAGGTGGCCATCTCTTCGAACGTCAGTTTGGCGTCGCCGATGACGCGCCGGAGGTGGTGCTTCGCCGCCTTGATGGCAGCCTCTCAGAGTCCACCGAAATTGGGTGCTGCCGGAGGGTTGAAGTGCCATTCAATCCTTTCGGCAGCAAGCCCTTCCGCGATGCGCTGGCCTTCCTGACCGCTGGCTGCGAAGAGCGCTCGCAGTTGGGCGTCGGCGCCCACGAAATTGGTGCCGCAATCGCTATAGAGGGCTCGACATAGCCCACGGCGCAGCGCGGCCAGGAAGGCGTCGGAGGAATAGTCCGAGGCGACATCGAGGTGGACGGCGCGGGTGCTGAGGCAGACGAAGACCACCAGGAAGGCCTTTGTAGCGCGCTGTCCTCGTCCCTTGGAGGTTCTTAGCCACATTGGTCCCGCGTATTCGACACCTGTATGGAGGAAGGGCCGAGCTGGTGTCACTCGATTCCGCGGCAGGTCCCCCATGAGTGGCTGCGGGGGTGCCGCCCGCCATCGCAAGCACGTTAAGCAGCGGTGTAGGCAGCGCTTGACGAGTGCCCGTCCGCGGGGAATCCAGTACTCCTGGCGTATGGAGCCAAGGGTCAGCTGCACGCCCCCGTGCAGGGTCCGGCGATGGCACGCCTCGATGACGAGTCGAGTAAATGTTGACCCTCCTGGCAAGATGATTGGGTGCCTGGCGTCAAAGGAGAGAAGAGCGCGCTTGATTCGACCGCCGACTCTGAGGATGCCCTGGGGGTCTCTGAAAGGGGTTAATCGGGTAAGTGTACTGCGTGTAGGTATTGGTTTGCCCTTCGTGATGGCTGCTAACTCCTCCTTGTAGTTGGCAGCTTGGACGACTCGGATCCAACTCAGGCGCGCTTCCTCGACTTCGCGGGTCCCAAGGACGAGCCGGACCGCAGGATTGGCCCGTACATCGGGCGCTCGCTTCTCCTGATGACGACGAAGCCAGCGGCGACACCAGGCCGAGATTCGTAGCAACCGATGGAGCGTGGAGTACCGGCTTAGTATAATCGGCTCCTCGGTGGCCTCTTTGCCAATGGTCGCAGCGTGCACTAGCGTGCGTCGTTCTGGGAGCTCGTTGTCGCTGTTCTCGTCATCGGAGATCGCCCAGCGGTCCGTCTCAGCTCGCAGCCAGGGAGGTCCGTGCCACCAGAGGGGGTGATCGACCAGTTCTTTTGGAGACAGCCCCCGTGAAGCACAATCCGCAGGGTTGTCTCGACCAGGGATGCGATGCCACCGGGCGTCTGGCAAGGATGTCTGGATCTCCGACACTCGGTTGGCCACGTACGTCTTTCAAGAAGTCGGGTGTCCACGGATCCATCCTAGAGCTACGGTAGAGTCCGACCAGAGGTGAAGGGGCACCTCCGTTGCTTCCAGGACGTGACGGATGTGACTGATGAGCCGAGCGAGCAGCGTTGCTGCACAAAGTTCTAAACGTGGTAGAGTTATCTGCTTTAGCGGCGCTACCTTGGTTTTCGCGGTAACTAGCGCGACCTCTACACGTCCTTCCCGATCCTCTGTCCGCAGATAAGCGACTGCGGCGTAGGCTCTTTCAGATGCGTCGGCGAAGCCATGGATTTCCCTCCGGCAGCCAGTTCCGCTATTCAGCCAGCGGGGAACGCGGATGCTCTCCAACAGAGGTAGCTCCGCCTGGAACTCCAGCCACCGCTGAGCGTCGCCGTCGGGGAGCGGTGTGTCCCAGTCGACTCCCAGTAACCACGTCGACTGTATAAGTATCTTGGCTCGCACCGTGGTGGGTGCGAGCCATCCCATCGGGTCAAATAACTTGGCCGTTAGTGACAGGACTGTCCTTTTAGATATCCTGTCCAGCCGCATCGTTGGCGTCGAGAAGGCGAAGTTGTCATTGTGCGGGTGCCATCTGAGGCCCAAGGTAGCGTGGCTCTCACCTGGTTGCCACCACCGGGGCTCCCGCTGTAGAAGGTCCTCCGCTGGCAGACTCTCGAGCAATGACGAATGGTTGGCCGACCACTTCTTCAGCGGGAAACCGCCCGCCCTGCAGATCTGCGTGAGTTGCTGCTGGATCTCCTCAGTCTCAGCAACGGTTGGTGCCCCCGTCAGGACGTCGTCCATGTAGACGTCCCGTCGAAGGACGTCCGCACCGAGGGGCCACCTGGAGGCTTCGTCATCCGCGAGTTGTCGGAGAGTGCGAATCGCCAAATAGGGAGCGCACGCCAACCCGTAAGTCACGGTGTTCAGTTGGAACTCCTTGATGTCCATATCTTTACCTTCACGCCACACAATCCTTTGCAGGTCGCGATCCTGAGGGTGGACGTCGATCTGCCTATACATTTTTTCGATGTCCGAGGCAATGGCATATCGATGACGACGCCACCGCAGCAGAATATCAGCAAGCGCTGGTAGTAGGTTCGGTCCGACTTGCAGGTGCTGATTGAGGGTCTCTCCCGACGGCAATCTTGACGAGCCATTAAACACGACCCGCAGCTTGGTCGTGGAGCTAGCTTCCCGCATCACGCCGTGATGAGGAAGATAGCAGAGCCGCTTGTTGACCCGGTCAGCGTCCGATGAGGCCGGCGTCATGTGATGTAAGTCGGCATATTGGCTGGCAGCATTATTGCGCCGCACTTATGTGCTTATTATTGGCAGCAGTGTTGCGCCTTATATGTGAAGACAGAAAACAGAAAGGAGTAGAAATGGATGGACATCAATGGAGCTAATACGATTCTAGTATCAAAATAAAGCAGACAAGAAGGATTTCAAGAAGAAAGAAGATAAATCAAGAATTTGTTTATATTTTAAATTTTGTTTGTTTATATTTTATTAGCTTATGTATTTATACATATATGTATTTATACATATTATGTATTTATACATATATGCATTTATACATATATGCATTTATACATATATGCATTTATACATATATGTAATACAATTATTATTATTTCTATAAAATTATAGAATTATAAGATATATAAAATATAAAATTATATAAAACTGTATAGAAATTATATAGAAATTATGTAGAAGAATAGAATATTAAATAGAATATAAAATAACAGTATACTTATCAGATAAATATTATATATATTAAGTCTTCTTCAGGTAACACGAAGAAAGAAGAGGAATAATAAAAATATTGGACGAAAAAGTTATGCAGCGAAATACAAAGCGCGCTATAGAAAGCAAAATACAACAGCATGTTCTACAGCGAACAACGTACAAATATTAAATGTAGCGAGAAAGCAATTGTTACATAATAATGAACACGTTTCACAAGATGTAACTAATGCGCTTTTATCCAATAATCAAACATTACATGCTAGTAATGTGTTATCGATCCCTCAGGAAATTGCACAATCTGATATTCATACGCATAGGAAAAAGTTGTTACAACAATTTTATTTAACTATATCGTCCTTTGCCGATATTACTTGTGATGTTTGTAAAAAATTATATTATAAAAAACAAATATGTATTACGAAAATATCTCCTACAACGATAAATATTTTTCCTACCGAGTTACGCGAATTAAATGAAATAATTACATGTTTTCGTTGTGCCAATTTGATAAAAAAAGGCAAAGTTCCAACACAAGCATATTGGAATGCTATGTTTTTGGATGAAATTCCAGATGTTATACGAAATTTAAGTGACATGGAACAAAGACTTTTATCAAGAATTGTTCCATTTATAAAAATTATTAAATTAGGTGGACGATTCGGTCAATCAGGTTTTCGAGGACAAGCTGTTTTATTTGCACAAGATATAGAAGAAATATCGGAGCAATTACCATTACCAATTACCAGAATAGGTATGATTATTGTATGTGAACAACTTGAGAATGTTCAACGATGCCGACAATTTCAAATAAACGTACAAAATTTATCAGCTGCTTTATTGTGGTTAATTCAAAATAATCCTTTATATCGAAACATTAATATTAATTTTGATGCTGCAAATCTTGATATTTCACAAATATGTCAAGTTATCGTAACACAGGACAATAATACAAATATTGATGTTAATAATTTTGTCCCATCCACAGAGCAGGTAATAAATAAAACTGAATTGATCGAAATAGCTGGGAATAGAGCAATAATCAGAGGTTCCATACATCAAGGTCATGATATGTTTTCTGATGCTACTAGAGGGAAACAGTGCACTGCAATTGCAGCGGTTGCTATAGCTATGTCTTTATTACATAATCTTCAAACTTGGACAAAGAATCTTATCGATACTATTTTATTAATAGGAGATGCGTTATATGTAACAAGTATATCAAAACGTAAGAATCCTCATCTTGCTGAAATCAACAGAGATTTTTTATCAGTTGATGAACTACATACAGATATTGAAATATTTGGAAATGTTATTAACCTTTTTATTACTCAAGATAGTAGTATATCAGGGCATTTATATAACGACAATAGTGCAGAAGCTCTCTCTCTCTCTCTCTCTCTCTCTCTCTCTCTCTCTCTCTCTCTCTCTCTCTCTCTCTCTCTCTCTCTCTCTCTCTCTCTCTCTCTCTCTCTCTCTCTCTCTCTCTCTCTCTCTCTCTCTCTCTCTCTCTCTCTCTCTCTCTCTCTCTCTCTCTCTCTCTCTCTCTCTCTCTCTCTCTCTCTCTCTCTCTCTCTCTCTCTCTCTCTCTCTCTCTCTCTCTCTCTCTCTCTCTCTCTCTCTCTCTCTCTCTCTCTCTCTCTCTCTCTCTCTCTCTCTCTCTCTCTCTCTCTCTCTCTCTCTCTCTCTCTCTCTCTCTCTCTCTCTCTCTCTCTCTCTCTCTCTCTCTCTCTCTCTCTCTCTCTCTCTCTCTCTCTCTCTCTCTCTCTCTCTCTCTCTCTCTCTCTCTCTCTCTCTCTCTCTCTCTCTCTTGTGATTATATTATGTTGTTCATTAATAAAAAGATTGCAGCGAAAATACTTGGAAGAATAGAAGATACATTGAAGTTGCATGATAAGTATATAATGATTCATTATTCTTCTTTATTATTATATAGTACATCTTGTATTACATGTTTTATATATAATAATAATAATTATAAAACTTGTGTATATATATAGAATGAAGAAACATGAGGGCAAAGAGAAGAATGAGCAGCACTACATGTATTGGCAGCATTATTGCGCCGCACTTATGTGCTTATTATTGGCAGCAGTGTTGCGCCTTATATGTGAAGACAGATAACAGAAAGGAGTAAAAATGGATGGACATCAATAGAGCTAATAAGATTCTAGTATCAAAATAAAGCAGACAAGAAGGATTTCAAGAAGAAAGAAGATAAATCAAGAATTTGTTTATATTTTAAATTTTGTTTGTTTATATTTTATTAGCTTATGTATTTATACATATATGTATTTATACATATTATGTATTTATACATATATGCATTTATACATATATGTAATACAATTATTATTATTTCTATAAAATTATAGAATTATAAGATATATAAAATATAAATTATATAAAACTGTATAGAAATTATATAGAAATTAGATAGAAGAATAGAATATTAAATAGAATATAAAATTATATATAACAGTATATTTATCAGATAAATATTATATATATTAAGTCTTCTTCAGGTAACACGAAGAAAGAAGAGGAATAATAAAAATATTGGACGAAAAAGTTATGCAGCGAAATACAAAGCGCGCTATAGAAAGCAAAATACAACAGCATGTTCTACAGCGAACAACGTACAAATATTAAATGTAGCGAGAAAGCAATTGTTACATAATAATGAACACGTTTCACAAGATGTAACTAATGTGCTTTTATCCAATAATCAAACATTACATGCTAGTAATGTGTTATCGATCCCTCAGGAAATTCCACAATCTGATATTGATACGCATAGGAAAAAGTTGTTACAACAATTTTATTTAACTATATCGTCCTTTGCCGATATTATTTGTGATGTTTGTAAAAAATTATATTATAAAAAACAAATATGTATTACGAAAATATCTCCTACAACGATAAATATTTTTCCTACAGAGTTACGCGAATTAAATGAAATAATTACATGTTTTCGTTGTGCCAATTTGATAAAAAAAGGCAAAGTTCCAACACAAGCATATTGGAATGCTATGTTTTTGGATGAAATTCCAGATGTTATACGAAATTTAAGTGACATGGAACAAAGACTTTTATCAAGAATTGTTCCATTTATAAAATTTATTAAATTAGGTGGACGATTCGGTCAATCAGGTTTTCGAGGGCAAGCTGTTTTATTTGCACAAGATATAGAAGAAATATCCGAGCAATTACCATTACCAATTACCAGAATAGGTATGATTATTGTATGTGAACAACTTGAGAATGTTCAACGATGCCGACAATTTCAAATAAACGTACAAAATTTATCAGCTGCTTTATTGTGGTTAATTCAAAATAATCCTTTATATCGAAACATTAATATTAATTTTGATGCTGCAAATCTTGATATTTCACAAATATGTCAAGTTATCGTAACACAGGACAATAATACAAATATTGATGTTAATAATTTTGTCCCATCTACAGGTAATAAATAAAACTGATTTGATCGAAATAGCTGGGAATAGAGCAATAATTAGAGGTTCCATACATCAAGGTCATGATATGTTTTCTGATGCTACTAGAGGGAAACAGTGCACTGCAATTGCAGCGGTTGCTATAGCTATGTCTTTATTACATAATCTTCAAACTTGGACAAAGAATCTTATCGATACTATTTTATTAATAGGAGATGCGTTATATGTAACAAGTATATCAAAACGTAAGAATCCTCATCTTGCTGAAATCAACAGAGATTTTTTATCAGTTGATGAACTACATACAGATATTGAAATATTTGGAAATGTTATTATTAATACTCAACATAGTAGTATATCAGGGCATTTATATAACGACAATAGTGCAGAAGGATTTCCTAATTTGAAAAATGCTTTAAATATTTTCTTTCAGGATCATAATTATGGTATATTAACTGTAAACGGAATTTCTGTTGCTATATTTAAATTAAATAACAACTTTTGGATATTTGATTCGCATTCAAGAGGATCAAACGGAAGACCAGCACAAAACGGTACAGCATGTTTGATCCGATTTTCGACAACGTTATCAATGTTTAATATTTTAAAAAATATTTTACCAAAATCTTTGAATAATATTTTTATTAGTTATTAATTTACTATAACTGCTGTTAATCCTTATATGCATTCTAATGAACAAAATCAAATATACAATAACAGCATCGAGAATGTTGCAGAATTAAATCCAAATAATGAAAACAATAATAATGATAATATTGTTATTACATCTTCGATTTTACGGCCAGTTGATGAAATTATACCTGACGTACAATCTGTTATTGAAAATGAAAACGAAGTACAAGATGCTCCCTTATATACATTGCGGCGGAAAACTACAGAACCTGTACAGATGCATACTGAATTACGAGCTGAAGAATTATCTTGGTACTTTCTTTTTCCAAAAGGGCGGAATGGACTTCATGAACCATCACGACTATATCCTATAACGCCATTAGATTATTGTCAAGCACGTATTATGTCGATCCTCGCACACTCTTTTCCTGTTTCGCCTCGCTCTCGAACATTTTCTGGTCCTTCGAGCCGGATCATCGCCGGCATCTGCGAGTTTGTGAGTGAGACTTAAAAAAGGGAAAGACAAACGTTACAAAATGTGCGCAGACTTAAACAATTTGCTGCAAGCTCAACGCTACATCCACGGTCGCATGTCAAGGTCGGTGGAAAATCTACGGAAACTAGGCGCAGCTGGCACCAACCTCGGCAGCATCGAGGCCCGGATCAAGATCCTGGATCAACTGTGGGCCAAGTTCGAGACACAGCGTGAGCTCATCCGCACCAGTTATAAGGAGAGATACAGCGAGAGTGAGTACGCGACTGCTTTTGTTGATGCCGTAGAAAATACTTACGTTCAACAACGCGGCAAGCTCGCCGATTATGATGAGCAGCAACGCGCTGCTCCTCCTCCGTCGGCGGAGTCTAACGAAAAGCAAAATAGCGATCGCTCGCTAAAAACCGCGTTGCCAAAAATCAAGTTACCTCCGTTCTCAGGTGCGTATGAAGACTGGCCGTGCTTCCGCGATTTATTCCTGTCCGTGATCGGTACAAATTCCGCTATTTCTCCCATTGAACGGTTCCATTATTTGCGTTCGTGCCTGCAAGGACCTGCGGGAAAATTGATACGTCCGTTAGCGGTTACCGGGGAGAACTACGAGCGCTGATGGCGACGCTCAGCCGCTCACGAACAAATTCCTGGCGACGCTACACCAAAGCCGGTTCTCGAACCGGCCGAGCTCGATGAAGCACTGCATCGATGGCTTCGCGTGGTGCAGTCAATACACTACGCCAACGAAATCGCCGCTATAAGCGCCAACCGCATCGTCGCCCACCGCAGCCCTCTATCAAAGCTGAGCCCATTCCTGGATCACAACGGCGTGCTGAGAGTCGGAGGGCGACTCAAGCACGCCATTCTGTCAAACGACGAACGACACCCGATGATCGCCTCCTCGACTTCTGGTAGACTCGTGCCACCAAAGAACACTACACGGCGGAGTACAGCTCACGCTGGGCTTGCTCCGTCAACGCTTCTGGATTCCGCGAGGACGGGCCGTCGTCAAGCAACTGCTCCACCGATGCGTGACGTGCACCCGATGGCGAGCCGCCGCACCGCAACCACAGATGGGCAATCTTCCGCGCGGCCGAGTCACTCCTGGACGCCCGTTCCTCCGCACCAGCGTGGACTACGCCGGCCCGTTTCAAATCCGAACGTCCAAAGGGCGAGGACATCGAGCGTACAAAGGCATCATCGCCGTTTTTGTGTGCCTTTGTACACGAGCCGTGCACTTAGAGTTGGCCTCGGACTATACAATCGAGGCCTTCTTAGCCGCCTTCCGCCGATTCATTTCACGTCGCGGCCTGTGCACGGACTTATACTCTGATTGCGGCACCAACTTCATTGGAGCAGACCGCGAATTGAGAAAACTCTTCCAGGCATCATCGTCCGACGGCCGTCGCATCGCGCACATCACAAGCTTACAGGGAGTACGAAGGCACTTCAACCCACCCGCCGCGCCGCACTTCGGGGGGCTCTGGGAGGCGGCTGTCAAATCCACAAAACACCACCTGAGACGAGTCATCGGGGAAGCTACACTTTAACATTTGAGGAATTCAGCACCTTCCTCACACAAGTGGAGGCCTGCCTAAATTCAAGGCCACTCCACGCTTTATCCGACGACCCCGACGACTTCATCGCACTGACACCCGGACACTTCCTCATCGGCGCCCCGCTTCTCGCCGCACCGGAGCCATCGCGGACCGAACAAAGGGACACTCACATATCGCGATGGCAACTGGTGCAAAAAATGAGGGACCATTTCTGGCAAAGATGGTCCCGAGAATACCTGCACGGACTTACCTCTCGACCAAAGTGGCTGGGATCCGAGGCGGCTCCCAACACGCTGTGTTTACTCCGCTCCGAGACAACCCCGCCAAGCCGATGGCCCCTCGCCCGCATCATCAAGCTGCACCCCGGAGACGACGACGTCATGCGCGTGGTGACCATCCGGACACCCACCACAGAACTCATCCGACCACTTACCAAGCTCGTGTTGCTTCCCAGCATCACCGAGACATCATCGCCGACAAAAAACCGCTCTCTTGTACACTAGTTATAAAAAAAAATAAAAATACCGTAAAAACAATGTTCTTATCGCTATTATTATTTAAGGTTTTTTGGTGTTTTTTGACTTTTGAAGCCCATGTGACAAAAATAAGTTTTACACAAAAACACGCAAACAATTTTGTCGGTTAGCCGCGCGATAAACGGCTGCCGGCACGCGCGAGGCCGTGACGTAGCCCGTGACGTACGGGCCACCGGCCTATCACTCGCTCCGAATCTCATCTCGCGCCGATATTTCAAGGGGCGGCCAATAAAGTTTGGCGCCGCGTTGAATCTTCGAACCGAACTCGGAGGTTCAAATTCATTGGTAGCGAGAGATTAAAGAACCGCTATAAAAGGGCCCGCTCGCGAGGAGCGCCTGAGACACTCGCATACGCGTTTAGTTATCGCATATTTAGTTACACCGCATTTCGACACGCTTTGTTAACCGCTTACGACAACCGCTATTCCTTTTGTGAAACCGCTTACGACAACCGCTATTCTTTTGTGAAACGCCTATAACCGACCGAGCTTTTATTTGGAACTTTTGTAGAATTTGTGATCGTGTTAATTATTTTGTTGTAATTAAAAAACGTGAACTGTACTCGCGAGATTTATTTTCCGCGAGCCAAAAGATCCTCGCACACTCTTTTCCTATTTCGCCTCGCTCTTGAACAGGGGAGAATATAGACAATTTACAATTTGATGAAAAACAACGATTAATTGTTGAGCATCCGGTAGCATTATCTCGTCACGATTTGAAAATTATGAAGAAGATGGAGACATCGAGGTTTACGATGAAATAAATAATTTAGTTCCAACTAGGCATATTCGTTTGCAAGATGGTACAAAAATGAAACGGCGTACACGTTCAGCAGTATTAAGAACGCGATATTATACTCAAACTGGTAATCGCGAAGCATACTTTTATAGTTATTTAGTAGCTCACATTCCTTTCAGAAATGAAGAAGAATTACTTCAGGGATATGAATCAGCAGAACAGGCATTTAATGCAAAGCGTCATCTATTACGACCTCTACGTAGAGAGCAGGATATTGAACAATTTCAATTTGTAGAACGGGAATTACAAGAAGTTATAAATCAAATTGTTGCATTAGATGACAATGATACAAATGCGCAATCTACGGTAAGAAACGAAGATCGTGCACATTGTATAATGGATGAGGAATATAATGATAATAATATTGATTTAGATTTACATAATCAACCTAATGAAGCAGATCGTGTTATATCTGCTGAAGAATTCGAACTAAATGTTAAAAACATGAACATAGAACAATCTCATTTATTTCATACAATTACTAATCATATTAAACTAGATATTCAAGGTCATATGATTGAACCTTTACGATTGTTTATTACAGGAGGAGCAGGATGTGGAAAAACGTTTCTTTTAAAAATGATAGAACAACAGATTAAACGATGTTATACTCCTACCATAGATCGCTTATTAAAACCGACATTTGTTGAAGTGACTGCTCTTACTGGTGTTGCAGCAAGATTAATTAATGGGCGTACCTTACACAATGCATTCTTTTTGGCAATAGAAAAAGGAAAACCTACGGTGTATAGACAGTTAACAGGACAACGTCTCGAAGATGCAAGACGTAAATGGCAGCATATTAAGTGGTTAATTATTGATGAAATATCGATGGTTTCATATGAAATATTAAGATCAATTCATCTTCGTTTTCAGGAATTTAAAAATAATAATGAATTATTTAGTGGTATTAATATATTGCTATTTGGAGATATTATGCAATTACCACCTGTAAAAGGAAGTTGGTGTTTTAAGCAACCTTTATGTTTTCAAGGGGAGCCACATTTATGGCGATACTTTGGTTTGTGTGAGCTAAAAACCAATATGCATCAACAAAATAATGCAGAATTCGTTGATTTGTTGAATAATTTGCGAGTTGGCCAAATTAATATTGCACAATACCAAATGCTATTAAATAGAACATATATTCCTTTAATTAATGAATTTGCTGATGGTGAAGTTATTCGTATATTTCCTACTATAAAGCTAGTTAATTCTTATAATAATAAAATAATTGAAGAGTTGGCAAAGACACAAAGAATTTATAATATAAACGCACGAGATGAATCAAGAGAACCTGCTACTTATGGTCAAAAGCCCTCTGCCGCAGCAAGTCCTGCTGATCCTAATAATACAGGTGGTTTGCTACATACTATTAAACTTGCAATAGGTTCTCGTGTAATGTTACGATCTAATTTAAAAATTAGTGAAGGTTTAGTAAATGGAAGTATGGGCATATATTATACGTTATATTACGTATATTTTATATATATATAAATCTTAATCTTTTTAATAACAAAATATATAAAATTCAATGCTATAATAGCGGATTAATTTTCTGTTTGGGCGTCTAATAAACCCAGATAAAGATAATTTTTCTAATTGGGCGCCTAATAAGGCAAGCCAATATTCAGCGATAATGGAGCCGATATTTTCAGCGCTTTCGGCAGCCTCTATACAGCGCCAGAGCAGCCAATTAATTTTTATAATTTTTCGGACCTGTAAAAAATAAAAAGGTTATAAATACAAGTAATAACATTATAAAAATATTACTCAAACTTTCTTTAATTTAATCAATTCTTTATCTTTATAATTGTTGTTATATCCTGTGCTATTCAATATTTTGGATTTATATATGAATTTATATTTCCCAAACCTATAAAACAAACTATTTCGTTGATTATAAATTTTGAATGTATACTTTAATAGTAGCTGTTATTAATAACAATGGTTACTATTAATATTGAATAATAAACTTATATTTATTTCAATACTTACTTAAGTAAAGCCGTCGATTTAA